TCTTAAACCCGGTTCTCAACAAGGCGGCCCATTTAAGTGTTGGTTGCTTACCCCCCCAAACAACCCCAAGGCGGGGGGTTGGGGAATTTCTGGGAGTTGAAATCCACTCATCTTAAAGTGGCCAAGTTTGGACAACACTGGTATAGAATATACAGTGTACTAAGTCATAAACCATGCTTTACAAATGGCTGGATTTTTAGAACATATTGGCTGAGTACCATCAAGTCAGTGACAACTCGCAAAAACCAAATATATTGCATGGTCATCAGCACCAATCTTAGGATTCCAGAGCTCATTTGAACATGTTTCTTATGATGCACTGAACTAATCATATTCTACCCAAGTTTTAGAAGTTCTCTGCCAGGTGATTTTTAATTATATTTGTTAGGTATCACCAGCCATCCCTGAGTTGGCAGAAAACAATATTGGCATGAAATTACTGGTCCCTATCCTGCCTCTATTGCCTCTGGTCTCAGTCACTGTCAGTCATTTGACTTCCCTCCAAAATAATGAGAAACAAGGCCTAACTGATTTTATCCGCTTTGAAATTGTCAATGGACTGTGTCAGAATAAGGGGGGAAATGTTACCTCTATGCAATTTTTGAAAAAGATTTGGAAAAAAGAGCTTCAGACTTCCTGGGAGAACCACACCTCTACAGTAACCTCTCTTTTTTTCAGATTACTGGATGAGCCTAAAATGAGTTGTGGCCAATTTATAAATCACAGTCAACTCCTTTAACCAGCTGCAACTTTTTTTCAGGCTTGTGTGGAAGCCTGAAAAACAATGGGCTATCTTAATAAGTAGCAGTGAGATGCTGTGCTTCGACAAAGTACTTCTGGATCATTTTCAAAACATGTGCAGCTCTAGGAAATGCTATATTAATAGCAGTACTACTAACAATGTAGGGTTCTCTCACTACTCTTGGGCTGAGGAAGAAATAAAGGCAATATCAGGGGACAAGGGAAAAATAATTGTTGCCAGGGCATAATTGTACTGTGGTTATATGAAGTAGGGTCATAGCATTAGAGTGAGTTGTACTGACAGAATATTTCCCATCACTTTCAAATAACATTATGTAATTTTTATGTCCATCTACTTTCCCAATACTTTCCAATATGCTGTATGTCAATTGATTCTACCAAACTAAATCTAAAGATTTAGATGTAGTACTTTAAAGCCTGAAAATTGTTTTGCTCTTTCAGAAACAGGATGTTCTGCTACTTCCTGTTGTAGGCTATCAACAAAATTATGTTCTGAATGACGATATTTAATGTATGTCACACAGTAGTCACTGTCAGTTTCACTCTTGCAAGTTGCACCCAAATCTTAAACATGCTAGTAGGATTCAAAAGCAAGATTTTGAAGAAGCTTCAGTTCCAGATCTCTTTGAAGCAATTTTTCTAACTATAGACAGCATGCCAGTGTGCATTTTAAAAAGGAGCTGTGCATGTTAAAAAGTACAAATTACTGCAGGAAAATTGGTTGGCAAAGTATAGGCTGCCCTACACTTGTATATCACATTCACTATTTGGAAGTTAGAATCAGAGTGATAAGGTGTTCACATGGACCAGGGTATCCTGGACTCAAGTGTTGACTTGGGCCAGGAAGTCCAGCATTCATATCAGCTCCTTCATGAAATATATCATATGGCCTTGACCAAATTAGCCTCTCTAATAAAAATCTACCAAAGAGATTATTAACATAAAGGAGGAACGTTTAATGCATTTAACTTTAAAAACATTAAAAACTGTTTAGAGGAACATAGTTAACCTTCAAACATCTGTGGAATGCAATACTATTTAACTGGATTGTATTCCAAACCCCCTGAAATTAACTGAATATATCAATATATAGAGATTGGGATGTGTGTTGTTTTCAGCTATCTTTACTAGATTCTAATTATTTTTTCTTCTGTAAATACAGACAACCTTTCAAGGTCACCACAGTCACTTTTCATACATAAAGGAATAAGCAGAGGGCGAGAAACTGTAATCTCAAGAGCAATGCAATAATATTCTTCTAAACAAATGTCTTGTATTTGAGGGCAACTTGTAACCCACCAGAACAACATGACAATCATGTGAACGTCCTTTTTTGTAGAGCAAGACACATTTGATTGGCTTCACCAACCTGATTATTTTAATTAGGCGTTGCCAGATGTGGCTTCAGATCTATGCAGATAGCAAATTGAGTCTCCTGCCAATCAACTGATGGTGTCACTTGGTGCTTTCCATTGTGCCAGGTCCTAACTTGCCATGATGGCTACTTTTATTATTATTATTTTGGGATAAAGCTTCATCATCCCAGGAGGAAGCTGAGATCTGGCATTGTAAAAACTGCCCAGTGATGCCACTGAATAATCAACATGGGTCTCAATTTGTTTCTGGAATGGTTTGAAGCTATATCTATCTGGTAATACTGTTAATCATGGCAGTAAGAACCATGAGTGGTACTAGCTATGAGACCTACTCATATATAAGTTCATTTCATGCACCTTAAGGCATGAAG